GTAAAATGCTAACCGTGTGCCTGGTTGCTGTGAGCTGCAGAGGAGAGCCTGTGGCCCGGGCCTGCTCCCTGTGTCGATGCTCAAATTTTTATGATCATCATAAAGCTAGTTCGCATTTGGTTTCTGTCATCTTAACAGAAGAAGTGCATTCTAATGAACATTCTTCACATATAGTGGCAAACCTTAGAGCGAGGTGAAGGATGGCTGATATTTGTTGTTTATTTTTAGAAATGGCATTAGAGTTAAAATATTATTTTAACAGTGAAATTAAAAGTGAAAAATGTCTACCTAGTTAATTTCACATTTAGGATTCCAGTTACCTCTTCATTCAAGACCATAGGTTTTGCCCACATGTTTACCTCGCTTTCCACCCAAAGGTCACAATTCAAGAGCTCCGTAGGGGTTTTTTATTATTATTTTGGTAAAAAAAAAAAAAATTTTATATATATATATATATACATATACACACACACACACACACACATATATACATATAAACATAAAATTTCCCATCTTAACCATTTTTTAAATTTTATTTCATTATGACTTTCAAGCATACAGTACATGGGTGAGACATTTACATAGTTTATGAAACAATCTCATTTGCTTTTTCTCTCCCTGGCCGTCCACCCAGTGCGAACGGCGCCCCCCACGCTGAGCTCTCCATCCCCGTGACCGTCTATCAACTACGAATTTGTACTTCTTTACCGCTTCGCCTCTCCCATCTTGACCATGTTTAAGTGTTAAAGAGAACGGTGTGTACGTGGAAACGGTGGCCCCACGCTAGTGCCGGAAGACATCTGAAGAGGAAAGCCAGCGGGAGCTGGAGAGTTGGCCACGCCGCCCGGATGGCGCGGAGGCTGCTGGAGCGGGGCGAGCGCGCTGACTCCAGATCTGCCCCTGCGTGGCGTGGCGTGGCGCGGAGGGACCGGAGTGGGGAGGGGCTGTCACTGCAGCGAGGGCTCGGCTTTTTAAAAGGAAGAGTTTCCTAGGCCCATCTCCTCCTCAACTGTCTCAGCGGCCGTGATCCCTGGCCTGCTGTCAGCCCAGTGCCACCCGAGCCCCCTCCGAGGGGTAAATCCCGCTTGGTTCCTTCTTTTTGTTCTGGGTGGCATTCCATTTATGAAGATACCACGTGTTGCTCATCGGTTCGTCTGCTGAGATGCATATGTGGGTTGCTTCCAGTTTGGGACAATTATGAATAAAACTGCTATGAACGTTGGTGGATAAGCTTTGGTGCGGACTTACGCTTTCATTTCCCTTGGGAGATAGAACGGCTCTGTCTGACGGGAGAGTACGCTCACCTCTGAAGGACTGGAAAGCAGGTTCCAGAATGGTGGCGCCATTTCGCATTCCAGCTTTTTCCATCTCCACTTCCTTGCCAGTACTGGGCGCCGTCTGCCTTTCTGACTTCAGCCATGTCCATGGATGTGCAGCGGTACCGCCTCGTGTTTAAATTCACGTTTCCCTGATGACTAATGACTTCGAGCCTGTTGTCATGTGCTTGGCCACTCACATGTCTTCTTTCGTGAAGCGCCTGTTCCAGTCTATTGCCCACTTTTAAAAAACTGGGTAGTTCGACACTGGAATTTAGGAGCTCTCTGTAGAATCTGGATACAAGTTTTTCGCGAGACGCGTGTACAGCAGCCGTTCTGTGTGGCCCGCCTCTCCGCTTTCGCTCCGGTCTCTTTCAAAGAACAAGTTTTTCATTATTACAGAACCCATTTATCTTTTTTCTCCTTTATCGTTCTTATTTTTTGTGTCCCGTTTAAAAACCCTCTGCCTACCACAAGAGCACGAGTATTTTCTCCTGTGTTTTCATCTAGAGGTTGTAGTTTTAACTTTTATGTTTAGGTCTATGATTTGATTTAATGTTAATTTTAGTTTGTGGTGTCAAGAAAAAGTTAACGTTTGTATTTTTCCATTACGGATGTCCAATCGTCTCAGACTGTTTTTAAAAATTATTTTAAAATATTCCTCTGTTGTGGTAAAATATATGAACCACGAACTTTACCACTGGAATCAGTTTTAAGCTTATGCTTCTGTGGCCTTAAGCACTTCACACGCTCGTGCAGCCGTCACCACCACCCACCTCCGGGGCCTTTCGTCGTCTTCGTAAACGGAATCTGTGCCCGTTAAACAGTAACTCCCGTCCCCCGCCCTGCCCCGCCCCGCCTGCCCTCCTGTGACCACTGCTCTGTTTTCTGTCTCTCTGTGTGTGACGATTCCAGGGCCTCTTCCTTTCTGCTGAACGCCTTTGCACCTTTGTGGGAGACGGTTGGCCACATACATGTGGGTCTATTCCTGCGCTTTCTAGTTTTTCCCTTTTATCTCTATTTATATACTTTCTCCAGCACCACAGTGTCTCAATTTCTGTAACTTTACGGTAAACCTTGACATCAGGGTAGTAGAAGTCCTACGGCTCTGTTCTTTGTTAATCGTGTTGGCTGTTCTAGGTCATTTTCATTTCTATATAAATTTTAGAATCAGCTTGTCGATTTCTACAAAAACAGCTCGTTGGGAACTTGATTAGTGTTGCACTGAACCTATGACCTTATTTAGAGAGGATGTACATCTTAACAAAGCTGAGTCTTCCGTGCGTGAACGTGATGTGCCCTCCCATTTCTTTGGATCATCCTCGGTTTATCCTGGCAAGGCTTAGTAGTTCTCATGTAGAGTTCTTGCACATTTTTGTTAAATTTATTCCTAAGATTTTTGTTATTTCACATTATTGTAAATGAAATTTTAAAATTTTATTTTATAGTTCGTTGCTAGTACATAAAAATACAACGGATTTTGTATTTAAACTCCGTAACCTTGTTAAATTCACTTAGTTCTAGTTGCATTTTTATGGGTCCCTTAGGATTTTCTACATAAACAACCGGGTCATCCGCAAATAGCAAAAGTACTTCTTCTTTTTGAACTTTTATGTCTTTCGTTTCTTTTTATTGCCTTAGTGCAATGGCTGGGACCGCCAGGGCAGTGTCCTTACGAAGCGGGAAGAGCAGGCTCCGTTGCTCTCAGTCACAGGAGGCGAGTGTTCGATGTTTCACCACCAAGTATGATGTGACCTTCAGCCTTTTTTGTAGTTTCCCTTTATCAGATTGAGAAAGTTTCCTTCTAATCTGGCTGCAGATTTTTTTGTCATGTGCAGATGTCCGGCTCTCTTAAGGGTCCCTTTCGAAACCTCACCCAATGACTCTGCTTACGTCTCCTTAAGCAGAACTAGGTCTGGCTGCAAGTGAGTCCAGAAAATGAAATTCTTTCTTAGGTGAGCACATGGCTGCCCCCTACAAAACCAGCTCTGTGAAAAAGGCAGGCCAGATGCGTGTTAGCACAGACAGCTGTAATCGGCGCCCCAGGCATGCGTTCTGGAGTAAGTCATGTTCACTCCACACTTCTAACCTACTATTCTGTTGCCACTGAACAAATGCTGTTTTGTAATTTTTACTCTTTCTGTAGGCAATTTGTTCTTTCTGGGCACTTTCAAGACCCTGTTGTCCTTAGTATAATTCAGCTGCTACACGATGCACCGGGGCGCTATTTTGGTTTTGGTTATCCTGTTTGGCACTTGTCGTGATTGCCGAATCTAAGGAGTTAAGTCTGTCATCAAACCTGGAAATTCTCCACTGTTATCTTTTCAAATCGTGTGTCTCCTTAGTATCTCCTATGAAAAATACATTCTGCCTCATGGATGAACCTTGAAAACAGGTGAAGTGTAATAAGCCATTGCCGACAGGACAGTGTGTGAGTTTACTTGTTTGAAGTGCCTAGAACAGGCAGAGTCGTAGAGACAGACAGCAGGGTCGAGGTCGCGGGCGAGAAGAGTCAGTGTTTAATGGGGACAGCGCTGTTCAGGACGATGGGAACGTTCTGGAGATGGAGAGAGCTGATGTCCCCATTATGCACATATGTAATGAAACTGAAGTTTTTTAAAAGATTAAAAATATTTTAACTATGTCAGACCTTCTCAGTCTGACTTCTGCAAAACGTTCTTATCTCCTAGTCTATCTATTTCATGTTCTGGGTAATTTCTTCAGACCCATCTTCCAGCTCAGTAATTCTCAGTTGTGTCTAGTCTGTTCTTTAAGCTGCCCATTGAAATTTCGATTATTATGTTTTTCGTTTCTAAAGTTATAGTTTGTTCCTTTTCAAATCTATCGGATTCTTTCTTTTTTTTTTTCCTGATTCCAGTAGTTTTTCATTCCTTGTTCGGGTTTTTAATCTTTTATCTCTGTGAATATTTTTAGCATACTTACATGTTTCGTGATTTTACCCTGTGATCTGATTTTGGCTGATCCAGTCTGTAGGGACCTGGAGGGACCGAGCTGAGCCCGCACTCATGCAGAGCTGGTTTCATCTGCTCCTGCTCGCCGCCTCGATGTGACCAGCCTTCAGCCACTTCCCCTGAGTCCAAGCCACCCAGGTGGCATGTATTTAAACCTACACCATTTGAGAGTGAGTCTGTACTCACAAACTTTGAGGGGAGATTCAATTTCCATCTTGCGGTGAGGTCGTTCCAAGGTCCTTCATTTATCTTTCCTGGAAAGCAGGAGGTTTTTTTCCTAGTCTTTCTAGCTTTTCACTGAGATTATGGATCTTTAAAGTCCTGACTTTGTGTGAGAATCTAAAGTCCACCTCTCACACTGCATGGGCCCAAGCCCCTGGCTCTTGTCTCCTGCGCAGCCATTAAAACCCAAACCTTTAAGTTCCTGGTATTGAGGTTGTCCCTAATATCATACCTGCTTAGTCAGCTGCTCTTCGTTTCTGCTTCATCTCGTGTCCCTGGGGACATCCCTTGCTTTCTCTACAGCTCGGCTATACGTTTAAAAGAGTGCTTATTGCGATTTTGTCAGCATTTCCAAGTGCTTTGTGATAGAGGAGTTTTAGATTACGTTGGCGGAACAGTTATTCAGCCACAGCGGTCAGCACATACAAGTGTTTAATGATTTCTTTTGCTTAACAGGTAATAAATGAATGCAGAAATGAACAGAAAGACATTCTGCGTTTTAAAACATTTATACACACCACAGCAGGAGGCATGAAAGACAGAGCAGTGACCAGAAGAGTTCCGCCTGGTCAGCCACGCCTTTTCGTTCCCTGAGGACCTTGGCGTCTTGATCACGGGTTGCCAGCTCACCCCAAGCTCTGACGTCATCCATCGATCCCTCACTCCATGGCCGCCCAGTTCCTTGAGCGCTCAGCTAGGCTTTGGGTGTCGATTACAGACCCACGTGTGGCTGGTCTGCAGACAAGAATTTAATACGTGGAAGCCGTGGCTGCAAGGTCCCTGGAAGGCTGACAGAGCACTAGTCTGAGCACCTGGAAGGAGACACAGTCTCCCCACAGCGCCGCGGACCTCGTCCCCTCAGGCCTTGCTCCTTTGCCACAGTCGGCAAAGTGAGGGGTCAGAAAGCCAATGCCTGAGGCCGGCTCTGACACACCACCCCTCCTCATCGGGCGGGGCACGCCACAGAGCTCTGGGATCCACCTGCGTGGGACAGTGCACTCCTCTCCCGGCCGGACCCACAGGCCCTCTTCACTCTTCCAGGACGACCGTTAAGTCCACGTGTCTCAAATGGCTGCCCTCCTTTTGGCCTGGGTCCCTAAGTGACTATGTGGAGCGCAGCCCCTGTCCCTGCCCGCGATGCGGACTGGGCTTTCTGTGAGCAGGAAATGAACATCTGTTGTGCTAAGTCACTGCCGCCTGGGGCTTACCTGTCGAAGTAGCTGGTGCTTCCTGGACTGAGGCAGGGGAACCCTCGGGAGCCTCCGGGGGTGTCCCGCCCAGAGAGCCTCTGGAGTGAGCACGCGGTTGCATCGTCTGGCCGCCAGTGTGTCCACCACGCTGTGCCTTAAGAACTGGGGAATTAACAAGACAGACTCATGTACCCACTGTGTCCACTGTGAGATGCACAGCGGCCCAAAATGAATGTCCTGTCTGACCCCCAAAGGCCCCCTTTGGTCAGTGGGCTGGCAGGGGCTAGGGCGTGGACAGAGTCTGGGAAAGTGGGATGAGTCTGGGGTCCCGTCCCCGCAGACCCCGTGCCCCCCGCAGGGGAGGGGGGCGGCACAGCCCTGGGATTTTCCGCCAGGTCTTTCCCGCTGGCAGCGGCTCCAGCCTGCGAGTGAGTCACGTCCAGGATGAGGAAGAGGGGTCGTGACTCTCCGGCATTGTGACTCAGGCCTGGGCCGTGCTCCTGGGACCGCGGGACTTCCCAGCACTACCCCCTCCTCTGACACTGCCCTGTTTTCGCCCCAGGGGTGACTCCGTGGCCAGTGAGCCCAAGTCCTCTGAGACCACGCCATTCCTGTTGGCCGTCACAGGGACCACAGCGGCCTAGCCACGTGGCCTCTGCCACCGCACTCTGTTTCTACCCTCGAGCGGCTGGCCCAGAGCCCATTGGGCGCCCCTCCCTGCACCGGAGCGCACCTGCGTGTCCGGGCGAGGCCACCTCAGGTCCTCCCAGGATGGCTAGAGAACAGCCGGGCTGGTCGAGCACAACGTGGCCCTCGGATGAGCCTCTTCCGTCACACTGAGGTGTTTCCAGCCCCTCGGCTCCGTCGACGTGGGCAGTCGTGAGCCCAGGTTCTGGTCACCAGAGCACAACAGCCAGCAGTACCCAGTTCCTGTGCTGCTGCCAGGCACCCACCGGATGGAGGCCCGTCTTCCCCGACAGCTGTGCCTCTGGCCCACGCCCACATGGTGGCAGCAGAGAGCCTGCCACGGCCAGGCCACGCCACACGTCCGAGACCAGATGCGAGACCTCCTCGGGAGGCCAGTCCTGAGCCCACCTAGACCCCTGGATGTCCCACACCTGGTCTGGCAGACCTTCCTCTGGCACAAAATTAGCATCGTGACAAAATGCTCAGGCGATGATGTGATGAACTACAGTGACAGATTTGTTTCGGGAACCAGTCAGCCACCTCTCTGGTGTCGTTCACAGGGGCGTAACCTGTCACCAGGAGTGGTTTCTGTACCTACTCTGAAACTGATTCTCCTTCCTGCCCTGAGCGAATCTTTGAGGTGGTCTCTCAGGGTCGTTCCCCTTGCCATAAAACCTGCCCTCTGCTTGCAACTTGACTCTGACGGTTCTTCGGTTCTTCGGTTCTTCGGCTCCACACCTGCTTGTCACCCAGATAACCCCTCAGGGCCTCAGCTAAGATGTCCCCGTGGGAGACCCTCCCTCCCTGGAAGTTCTGTGGCCCCTTCCCAGCACCCGGCAGCACCCCACCCCAACAATAACAGCAGTGATGACACAGACCTGCCACATGCCGGCAGGGGCTAAGTCTTGCTGTATTCCCCACCCACCAAACAGGATGAGTGCATTCGCCATGATACTCCATCCATTTACGGGGGCCCAGTTCACACCTGAGCAGGTGGGCGAGAAGGAGCAGGGATCTGACAAGTCCTCACTGCGAAAATGACATCCCAGGGGACTTGAAGGAGGGGACAGAGCTAGCCATGCCCTATGGGTTAGGAACTCCAGAGTTGGCACAGCATAGTCAGGGCCCTGAGGCTCAAGGATGCAACTGACCCGCAGTCGGGCAGGGGGTAAGGGACAGCACCACACACTGCCACCTCACAGCAGCCACGGCACTCCTGAGCAGTACTGCCCCATCTGCTTGGCACCACCACCCTTTCCGCGAGGCCTCCTGCCCCCTCACCATTTTGATGGGGGCTGCAGGCTGACTTTATTCAGGGCCACCGCAGCAAGTGCTCAAACCCCTGTGATGACATTTTGCAGTGGGGGAGGGAGAGGTGGCCTCAAGTCGGATTACAGCGTGGGCAAGTGGGGCTCGGTAGTGACGGGTTTCAGGACACATTACCCCAAAGTGTGGCAGTTGGGCATGCTGACGATTTTAAGGGAGAGGAGTTGAAGAAAACAGACCCCCTCAATCCCCGAGCCAGGCCATCGAACCCTCATGTGAGAAGTGCCCCAAACCTGGAGGAAAGGGGGCAGACAAAGGGAGAAATGGGAACAAATGCCTTGCAAGGCCCCCCAATTCACCACGTGACCTCACCTCCTGACCTATCATGTACTCCTGCAGACCTGGCATGAAACGCTCAGGTTTGACTGTTCTTGTGGGTCCCCGTGGACTGGCGAAGGCTCCCCTGTCACGTGACACTTGTGAAATTAACAGACGTGGATGCTTTTCTTCTGCCGGTCCGTCGTCAGTTTAACTGTCGGATGGAGCAGGACCTGAGGGTCAAGGGAAGCTGTCTCTCCCTGCGCGGGAGAGGAGAAGGGTGGGGGCAATGGATGATCAGAGAGGAGACATCTGGGTGAGGGGTTCCAGCTGAAGGCGGGCGGGGTGGCCGGACGTCACCTGGGGAGGGCAGGGGGCCAAGAACCTTATCGGGTGTTGAGGATGGAGAGTTTCACCCGAAGCTGGGTTTTATGAGGAAGGGCACCGATGGGCTTGGTCGAGGCCTCAGGAGCCAAACCGAAGAGTGGTCAAGCAAAGAATCTGTCACCTGCCACTCTCCCCTCGGCTGAGGCGTGCACCCACCAGGAGCACCTGTCTGGGACTGGGACCAGCCACACGACCTCTGGGTAGACCAGGTGGGCAGCAGGAACGGTGGTGGTCGCTGAGGGCCAGGAGGACGGAGCAGAGGGGGCGGGCAGAGGCCTGAGCGGTGGCCTCTAGGATCCCAGGTTCCGACGTCGGCTGGGCTCAGGAGGCGTGTTCTCCCTGCGGCAGCTCACGCACACCGCTCACCCGCCCAGGCCGGGGAATGAGGGCGTCTCTCACCCCTGCTTCTAGATCAGAACCAAACCCTCGCCCTTCCCCATCAGGCCCCTCTATTCACTGTGGGTGGTGGTTCCAAATTAGCCATGTCCCAGGGGTCCAGAGCCACTTCCCGACCCCAGCAGGCTGCCTGCCGTTGGGGCGCTGTCCCTCTTGCCAGCTCCTGTGGCAACGTCAAAGAGCTCACAGCTCCAAAGCCTCAGCCGCCCACAGAGGCTCCGCTTTGAACTAAGGCGACGGGCAGCCACGCGCCTCCTCCCCCACCCGGGTCGGGCTGGGCCAGCCCGTGTGCGCACACCTGAGCGCCCCGCGGAAGCAGCGCCAGCCGTGTGCATGACGTGACAGCGCGGGAGGGCTCTGCCCAAGAATCAGGGCAGGTCCTGGCTGCCTGGGGTAGCTCTCTGCGCAGCCCACGGGGCCGGACGGCTCTGGGCTGGTTCCCTTCTAACTCTAACGCTCAGCGCCCACAGGCCGTGATCGCTCCAGTAACAGGGTCAAAGATTTTGGGGCCGCGGACAAACTTCCTGTCCCGGCCCTCACCCAATCCTGCGCCCACGCACAAGCCCAGTAACCACGCTGGAATGCGACGGCAGGGCGACGGGCCGGGGACTAGCCCCCTCTCTGCAGTCGGGGCCCTTCACATCGGCCCCCACAGCCCCTCGTCTTGAGCTCCCAGTCGCGTCGGGAAAAAGCCAGCTCCCCAACAGGGCTGGACCTCAGTGGAAGCCGTGTCCTGGGCCCCACCCGGGTCCCAGAGGCCTATCCACGGTCCCACGGGCTCCAGGGTCAGGAAGCGCGGGAGGCCCTTCCCAGCCAGGAGCCCAGGTCCTACTGCTCCAGAGGGCAGAGGGCGCAGAGGGCGCCCTGAGCTTACGGAGGGACCTGAAGCCAGAGAGCGGCGGGGGTGACTGCCCTAGGGGAGCCGCTGGGGGGCAGTCACTGCAGACTTCAGGCGGGCTGTCAGCGCGCAGAGTACGAGACCCACCTAGCAAGCCTGCGGACACCTGGCTTTAACTTCCAGACAGCTAAACAAATGGGACCAAAAAGTGAAGTCACCTGTCCAAGCGACACGGCCAGGACCAGTCAGCCCTCCGCTTCCGATGGGTCCTTCCCACTGGTGCGCCCTGGA